ATTTGTTCCATAATTTTCATTTGTTTTCAGGGATTCCCCTTGGGGAATATTACAAAATATATATACTGTACGATTTTAGCTGTGAGACGTTTTCCAGGCTGAATTATAGTAACTTTGTTTTTTTTATATTTAGACAACTTTGTTCCTTTTAATACTACTACATAATAAATATAGATACATTTACAATATAGATTCATGATATTTTTTCCCCCATATCCTTCCTGAACTTTTTCACGAGACGAAACGTATTCGTATATGTGATGTACGATTTTGGCTGTGACTCACTGTATGTAAAATTTACGTTTCAGTGTTATAATGTATACAAGTGAACATTGTATTACTCATATTGCATATCTATTAGGTTGTGTAATGAAACTGTCGGTATGGATGATTCCATTGCTATTGAGCAAACATTATAATAATGCTTACTTTTTAAAATTTTCCATTGAAAATATTTATCTATGCAAACTGAGTGTTTTTTGCGTATAAATTGCATGCAAATGTAATCTAATAAAGCAATTTCGATTCACAGCTTGCAAATACTAATTTTATGGGTTGATCTTGACATTCACAAGCAGCAAACTTTATTTTTATCGTTACAAGTTGTATGCTGCAAGAGGTAGACGCTAACTGAAAAGAATTTGAATTAAGTGATCTTTGGATGCAGAGTGGAATATCAAATAGGTTCCGATAAAAACCGTGTAAATACCAATACCTTACTCTATACATTGTATAAGTAACGCGGAGATAAATAAGAATTATCAGTAGTGATCATACATAAGTCTTGATCATACATAAATAATCGTGACATGAAAGTAGCTATTATTAGAAGAATTTTGCTTGATGTTTGCTCGAAGAGTACTCAAAGTTCTGATTTTGTTCGAAATTGCTGAAAAACATGAGGCTCAAGATGTTTACTCCTGGTTCTAAAGAGATTCGTCGAAAACCATGGGAATGTTAAATATTTTTCAAGTTGGACATTTTCAAACAATAAATATATTTTGCAAGTAACTTCTGATAGATAGAAGTTAGTAACATAAGTGTTACTATCAAATATAAGCTTAATTATACAACTGTTTTCTGAAACGTCCACAAACTACATCCAGGGGCGTCTACGCTAAATTTAAAATACCGGTGTTTTTATGTTATGTCTTCGTAACAATACGAGAACTTCGGAGACTAAACCTTTATGCTTCAGTTTAGTCGTCAGAAGGATTTTGAGAGCGACAGGTCGTGAAGTTATAAGAATTTTATGTTGAATAAGCTATTATTTTATACAGTAAAAAAATAAACGACACGAACTTATGGGACGAACTAATACTATTGTACAATACCGGTATGACGTCATACCATTATTTTCTTTGGTTTTAGGTATTATATGGGTTTCGATATAACCGTCTTGGCCGTACACCGGTGCTAACACATTCGCAACCAGTGAATTTCTCGCTTTTTTAACACTCATTGCTGGTGAAAATGGAAAAAAATCTCAAGCTAATTGCTGCACATGTCCGACGTCACAACAGGGACAAAAAATGGAAAATTTATTTTGAAATATTAGTTTTAATAATTAGTTTTAATTGTAATAATTTGTTTGAAATGAAGAACTTTCTGTTAAACAAGTCGCAAATGGAAACGATCAGAAGAATAAAATATTTCAAAAGTTATAAAATTTGAAAAGACGCGAATTCATGTCAGCAGTCGTGAATGTGTTAACCTCTTGCGGACAAGGATCTTTTCAAATATTCAAAACCTTCAATAGAGAGAAGTAAATTATGCATCAAAATGATACACGCTAAAGAAAAAGAGAGCTATGAATCGACGTGTCGTTATTCGAATAACTAAATTATATGTTGCTAACTTCGTATCCCGTAATAAATAATTTTTTTTATCAAAATAAAAATAATTTCTATAACAAATTTACTCTTTTAAATTTACTTACTATATTATTAATTATAATTTACATTTATAAAAATTTAAAAATTTCATTATTTTCAATCTTAAATAATAATTTATTAATTTTTAGAAATTTATTTATACCCCTATAATTTTATTACTTTACGTTTAATCATTTTATTATTATTAATTTTAATTTTATTCATCAAATTAAATTATTAAATAGATCAAACAAAATGTCGACATTCGTCTTTAAAGGCTAATATTATTCCAGTTTTAATTTCCAGGTCTAACACCGGCATCAAAGTCATTCCGCAATTAAGTCTCCGATCACATCACAAACGATTTGATCCAACCATAATTACGCAAGCTCTACCTCGTATCCGCAAAAAAATTGAGAAACCATTTCCCAGGGAAATGAAGTGGTCGCTCTAAATCAAACAATCGATGCCAGAGAAGTTCGTTCGGAATATCTCCGCGGTTTGGCCGGGCGCGTGGTTTTCGACCGCAAAACTTCGAGGTGCTTGTTGCCACATTTTTCTGAAGTCGAGCATGCACGCGTAGCTCGCGCGCACGCGCGACAGTAAATTTTCTCCGCACGCACGCGCGCAATCGTGGTCTAGTTTTGTCAGTGGAGCATCGTAAATCACGCACTTCGTTTCCTCGTCACATCTAGAAAGTATGTCTGACAGATTTACAGGATGTATAAATTACCAGAACCGGGATGTTTGTCGAGGTCGATACTCTATTGACTCGTCAACTCCCGCCCGTTGCGTTACACCCCTATCGGCTACGTAGCCGACGTTACGCCTAAGTCTTGGACGTCTGTTTGTCTGTCTAGACGTTGACAGCGTAAGCAGTGTTTGCCGGGGAATCATTCTCGATTGCCACTTCAGACATATCGGTACGCTTATTTACGATAGCGCGAGACAACACGCACGGACCGAGTACCGTGTATATAAATTTCGTTTTGCGTTCAGGATACCGGCTATCCAGAGACTGCGCTGACCGTCGATATGGTGTCGATCAGCTCGGATTCGGCTCTTCCCCATTCGGTCGATTTGGAGTCGCACGGCTGTCTCATGGGTGATAAACCAACCACGCCTCTCACCGATTCCGACATCGATAAGATCGTCGAACGGAAACTCCACTCGAATAACTTCCGTGTTTTAAACTGGAGTTTGGATAGTTTGGCCGAGACGAATGGTTTCTTAGGGTCATACTACATCCTCACCGTCACGGTGAAAGCCGACGACAAATCAACAGAGCTGAAGTTCTTCGCGAAAACACCACCGCCTATCGGCTCTACGCAGTACAACTTTCTTATACAGCATAACACGTTCAACAAGGAGATAACCGTTTACAATGACCTAATACCTATGATAGGCAGAGGGAAAGGGCTTAAGTGGGTACCGGACTATTATCTTGGTAAGAATAACACTATAATAGTGCTGGAGAATGCCATAGTGTCCGGTTACGAGACACTGAACAAGTATGTACCATTCGACGTGGAGCACTGCATTTTGACGGTAAGGTCGCTTGCGATTTTTCACTCGAGGTGCTTGATTCTGGACGAAAAGCTGCGACGCAGTACTGGTCAAACGATTATGGATTACTTCGGACACGTGCTGGTGGAAGTGGGCTTCCTGGAGAATGATCCACTGGCACGGCAGTATCGGTACGCTTGCTCTGTTGCTGCTTGCGCGTTGGTTGATTTCCTCGAAGATATCACCGAGGATCAACGATCAGTGCTGAAGAAACGCATTTCCAAGTGGATCGAGATGATGCCAAAGTTGTTGGAGTCGTCGACCAAGTTCAGGAATCTGATATGTCATCGTGACATATGGGTGAACAATATTCTGTTCAAGAAGGACTCCACTGGGAAACCAATCGGTTGCTACATAATAGACTACCAGTTCATTCGATATTCCCCTCCAGCGACGGATTTCATTCTCAGCCTTTATCTGAACACTAGTCGCGTCGTTAGAAAGGAGAACTTCGATTTTTTCGTCGACGTATATTGCGACACGATGCAATCCGAATTGGCTTCGGAAGGCTTGGACATGCAGGAGTGCTTACCTCGCGCGGAATTCGTTGAATCGTGCCAGCAGCTAAGGAACATGGCGTTGATCTATTGTATCATGAACTTGCAAATAATGTTGCTCTCGAAGGAAGCGGTCGACAAGTACTTCGCAGGCAGCATGGATGGAATGGAAGACGTGATGTACGGTGACCGGAGGGTGGAACTCGTGCTGAGCCAATGCCGCAGCATGAAAGCTTATCAGACACGTCTTATCGACATATTAGAAGAAATCAAAGAGCACTTGCCCGATAACCCGGCAAATTGTTAGCCGCCGGGAAAGAATAGGGATACAGAATGCACTTGGAGTGTCGTCGTTTGTACCTGCATTACGATCTATGATAAAGGTCTTTGGAACCGAGCCAGGAAGAAGGCCGGCCTCGTTTCTGGATTTGCGGATGTGTCGTAAAGTCTCCGAAACGTGCTAGAGTTCGCAAGAAAGGCCACGCGTACCAAGGTCAATCAATAGTCGCGTCGAGTCTTGACTTTTTGCTGTAGAACAGCTTGAATCGTAGTGTTTATTTCACCAATGTGTCAGAAATTTGTCTTGAAATTATTTTCTTTTCCTGTAGTAGAGGATTTACTAAATTCAAATTTCACCAACATTATTTCATGAAAGTTTATATTAATTTTGATTAAAGTAATTAGGTATACGAATGCGTATTTTAATTGTCTGTTTTCAAAGTTCCAATTTCAAAGGTATATATAAATGGATAGCTGTTGTTTTTAATGACAATGAAATAAAATGTACAATAAATTCCATAAACATAAGCTTAAAAGCTTTATTATGTATTAGCGAATTAATATGGTATAATAGAACAACGTGAATCATTGAAGCCTTGTGTATACAAATTTGGTTCTGAATCAGCCTTTCGGTTAGTGATGTGTACAGAAAAAATTACACGTGATTTACGGGATGAAGCTTTATTAGGATTTCTGCGGATAATTTTGTAAACATTGTTATCAATTTTATAGATACGTCGATTGTAAAGTTATTAAGAAGTAAAATATCTTAACGACATTATACATGCGTGTCAATTTATTTCGTCAAGTCATTTTGAGAGTCTGAGTATACTATTATATGCTTCGTGCATATAAGTGTAATAAAATTGTATAAATAAAATTGGGTAAATATCTTCGGTATTTACGATAAGTTAAAAGCATAATAAACCATTCTATAGCTGTAGTCCTATCTTTCCAAACAGTTGAACAATATTCCTTGCTATATAATTACACCGATTAGTATTAACAACATAATAATGCACAGCAATAGATATTTCGCAATCGTCTCATTGGTTGACAGTTCACTTCTGACTTATTTTCTCTTACTCTCTAGAATATAGGAAGTTTCGAAACAGGTGAGCATAAATTCAGTATGTTAATATAAGAAAAAAATTCAAGTATGACATTGGGTTGATGCAAAAATTTTGACGTGGTTTGTGCGTGATTAACAAACAAATTTTTCTTGGAAACAAATTACATTTGTTTTCAATTATAACGTGTATGAAGAACACTTCTTTCTTCAAAATTTCAAAACTTTTGGATCAACTCAATGCTTGCTACTTAACACTTTACTCACTAGGATCTGAAAAATCGGATTTTCAATGCCAATACTTATCGACCGGAACTTTTTGTCGTGTTATTTTTCACGTATTAGTTGTTTGTATTATAAGTACTTCATGCGTATCAAATATTTTGAAATTATTTCCTTCTATAATTAATCGAAGTAATACGTCGCCGGTATTAGCAACGTTTTCTCATTTTATCAAGCCCGTCAGTAAAGTTGATAATAAAACATTTTGCATATAAATGTCTCGCTAACATTTGCATTCAACAAGGTCGTACATTAAATGCATGGTTGCTGTATCAGCATTTGTTTAATCTGCCATTATCAATGTAAATTGTCACTGAAATTATTGTGAAATGTATTAGATGATCAGTTCAAATTATTACAAAGTGTATTAGCAAATTGGCACACGTACTGTTGCTACGAATAATATGTATTAAATTGATTGAAAGTAATCATGGCATGGTGTTTATATAGTATAGGAAGTAGATAATAGTCATGATAATTACTGAAAGATAAAAAATGGTTGTAATATGAAAATAAGATCATGCCGAATAAATATTTACGTGAACTGTTTGCTCATATTAGCGTACTGAATTCATTCCTGAAGTTATGCCCACACATTTTGAAACATTCTTATATGCTTTATCACCAACTAAATTAACTCTTAAATCTAAATATATTTTATATAAAACGTTCAAGTTTATTTAAATAAGTGATAATTCTCTTTTAAAAGTTTTACCAGTGCGAAAAATATGAATATACTGTCTTTATGTTATTACACAGTCATTATAGGAATTTGTTATTACTGAAATAGTTAGCCTCTAAGTATGTGGGTGTTGATAATGGAAAATTTACATTTTTATTACTTCTTTCATAAACTTTTAAGTATTTAAGTATTACATCAGCATTATCTATCAATTACTATTTCAGGAATGTTTATACAATTACATACGATTTTAAAAAATAGATTAAATAATGAAATCTTGATTAAAATATCATTGGAGATAGTGAAAATATATCTTTCTTCGAGCATATTTTGTGTAATGCATTTTGTAAATACATACTTCATTTTCTAGTATGCTCAACAAATTGACTGCCGTGTCGAAGATTAGGTTACGAAACAAGTAATAAAGAACAAAGGACAAAATAAAAATATTACAGAGGAAATAATAAGGGCTGCTATGTTAACGAATAGTTAATTGCAATATATGGTCTAAAATTGGTACGAATATTTGAAAATATTGTTGACAAGCATGCCACGTAATACTTCTTTTTTGTTTAAGTATTAATTTACCAAGATAAGAAACGCTAATTTAAATAACCATTACAAAGTAATAATAAAGTATGCACAAAATGATTAATATTTCATGAGTACGCACATTTTATATAATTTCCCAGACATTTATCATAAAATATTCTGCGCAATATGTTACATGCGTTTTACATAAGTTTGATATGTGTTATCTATATTAGCACGTGTACTCTGCAAATTCCGTGCGGTATTCAAGTTTTGTAAATGCATTTGTCGACAGTCGTGTCATAATTTCATCGTGCACTCAAACGGACTCGCACGAAACAGATTTGTAACGGGCACAGTCTACATCTGAACCTTGATTTACCCGGACTTTTTGTAGGTGAGTTTCATTTTATGCGGTAAATCAGAACATTATTTACGCAATGGTTTTTACGCGCGATCTTAACGTTCACGCGTTTATGAAAACGTTGAAACATGGGATTTAAATGGCATTAGAGAGCACATTGTAGGTGGCTGCATTTCAGAGATTTCAAGGTCACCTTGATTTTTTAAATGGAATGACCTACTTTTTTTTACCATAGATTGATAGAGTATCCAATTCTGAATATAAAAGTGTTGACCTTCATACGTCCTAAACTTAATACTTAATTAGATATTAGTAATAATTTAATCCGCGTGAAGTTAATGTATCCGAGTGTCCAGTCGCGAAAATGGCAGTGCTTATTTGACAATGTTTATCAAGATCCTATTCCTCTCGTCCCAGTATATTTCTAATTTTTTTAGCTATTTAAGCTATTTAAAATAAATATGTATTCCTAAAACTTATATGTACTAGCTTTTGTTTCCAATATTTTTTCTTCCTAGATTTTATCAACACTATTTTCAGTCGCATGAAACAAAGCCACGTGCAACGGATTTCCGTGTAAATCAAGGGTCAGATGTATACCCAATAAAAAGAAAGATCGTGTAATAGTCACTTTTTCCCCATTAACAGGTGCACATCTACAAAACGCGTGGTTTGAAGTGCGCGCGCTTGCTCGTTGTAATTGATGACGAGGGTGGCACTTTCGACGGAAACGAACGCACAAGAGCCTTTCGCTAGGACTTTCGTTCCCCCCGAACTTTTTTTTTATACTGCCGTGTTGTTTCATCGTTTTTCTTTCTTCCCCACTTCAGATTTTGTTGGCGGTAATGCGAGCGAGGGGAATACGTCAACCTGCGGCCGACATTGCTGTTTATTATTTCCAAGAGCGTTCCTTTCATGAATTGTTCGCCTCTGCGGTGCCGTTCGTAGCCTGCTGTAATGTTTCAACGTAATTATTTCATTCGGTGGATTTCAGGCGACTACGTGCGTATGTCCGGAGCTTCATTGAACGCGAAATCATTTTCATCATCAAGAAAGTTAATTTTCCGTATAAAACCATTGTGTGATTGGAGCCTTAAACGATGTCTTTATCCTGCGTTGGACGAATTTGCCCGTAAAAGGCAAAGGGATTACCGCTCGTAATAAACTTGCCAGAAATTCTGCGAATACTGGCAAGATACGATTGTTTAATATTTAACGTAACTTTCCATCGTGACTTTCATTGCAGCGGACGAGGCACGTTCGATGGATACTCTGCACGGTTGGTAATTACATTCGGGAAGCAGTTTCCTTTGTGTTATTAATGATATTATAAAGTACATCTATAATATTTGATGCGTTTAACAAACTTCTCAAAGGCGAACTGTTGAACGTGTTAATTTGAAGATTTTCAGATTTATTATGGTGCTATAGTAGTTAAGAATATAATCTTAACTAGAATAGAAATAGTTGAAAAATAAGAAAATAAAGCTTCGATGACAAATTTTTTACAAATATTAACGTAGTTCTAAATTATAAATAAATATTTACTGATCATATTTAAAAATTTGATCGATTAAATAGTTTTTGGGAAATATTATCAGTCAATTCTAACATTTTGAAATAAACATTTTGTAAAGATTTATATACAATTTTATTCTACTTAAAAAGAAAAATGACATGTTGATACTAAATAAACTATTGTACAGTTACACAGTCGTTTAAAAACGTTAACTTTTCTTCAAACAGTTTAGATCGCTTTTGTCAATTCCTCCTGCCTTTTTAAATACCTATAAATCCTTTGGAGACTGGCCCACTTGGCACTCTGATTCAATCTGAAAATTTCGCGGCTTCATTGATCCAAGCAAGCCAAAGATGTCATCCATTTAAAGTTTGAGAATAGGCGTTTAACAACAAATCGACAACTATTAACTTAAGAATGAAGATAAAGTTTTCATCAAAGATTATTACAGCTAAAATATAGGCACCTGCATAATTTGGCTTAACAGTTCCTCAAATTATCAAACATCGTGCATTTATTTCCTTAATTCATTATTAACGAACCGCCGTTATCTTCTTTCTCCAGTACTTTTAAAAAACTAGAAATAATGAATCGCGTTTAACACCATTTCTATCGAGATGTCAACAGACACCCTTTGAAATTGTAACTTAAAATTACATTCTGTAATTTTCCGTTGTATATTCTGAATTGACTTTTCCAGTAAGGATTATAAAACAAACTATAGAAAATGACCAACATTCAATTGAGGAAGAACGATTAAACTGGGAAAATAATTTTAAGTTACAATTTCAAAGGTGCCTTTTGGTCGTGAAGTAAATCGGTAGTGAATAGTGTCAAAAAGTAAGTAAAACGAAAAGTGAGAATTATTTATTATGCTGTTAATAGTTTCAAAATATTAAAACAATAATTGAAGATGCTTCTCGTAAAAGACCTCATAACCAACATGTATCATCGTAGTCATATTTTGTTTTCCCTGTTAGTCACAACACTCTATGGCGTTTAATGAGGAAACTTGTTTATAGCTTTGGATGTATCAATCTAAGCCACTGAAAAGTATCCTGATCTGGGCAGAAAACAATAAACGCGTCGCAGTGGCTTTCTAGGAAAATTATTCTCGTGTGATAATCAAGAAAACTATTTGGCTCGTTTGCCGAACAGTGACAGGCTAGTTCTGTCCGCCGGCTTGCGAGGTTATGTCACATTAAAGCAGAAGTTCGTTTTATGGCCGGCAATTCGAAGCGACCGTAATCGTCCCTATGCTGAACTAATAACATAACTGTGGTACGTAAATTGCGCAGCCTATCGATAACAGGGTCCACGCGATTGGAGTATAGGTAGGACTCAGCTCGACGCAATGGACACATTGTTCTGCCAGACTTTTAATATTTGTTTTATTTTGACCGATTGTCCATTGTTTCTTTCAACGCGGAAATTGCGCCGAAATGGAAAATCCGAATGCGAATCACGGGCTCCTGTAGTTGCGGTAAAAATGAAATAAACGAGAAGATCAGCGTTGTCGTTGGGGCTTGACGAGAAACTACATTAATTGTATTTAAAAATATAGAACGCTTCGTTTGAGTTTTCTTTATTCATTATGAATTATAAGTTGATTTTTATTTTACTTTTATTAGTATAAAATACGTACATACGTCTTTAACCAGTAAATTGCGTTTGACGAGTATACACGTCATATTAAACCTTGAA